GACTTTTGACAGCACTGAGCTCTCGTTCCATGCGCTCTTTGGCCTGGTCGTTTTTGAGACCAAATTCGCCGGATGACAATATTAGCTTGTTGAGGTCTTCCACCTGATGATTTAGGTTTGCGCATTCCTCTTCAAACCACTCCAGGCGTTGGTTCGCGGCCTCGAGATCCCGGTGCAGACTTTCCTCCCGCTCCAAGGCAGCCCTGGAGGCTTTCCGTTCGCCAGCCTCCTCGGCACGGATCCTCGCTTCTTCAGCCTCAGTCTTGGCTTGACGGAGTCGGCGAATTTCAGCACGTGCCTCATCTCGTTCCTTCTCTGCTGTCGTTCTGGCCTCCTTGGTCCTCCTAAGGGTATCTTGCTGGGCGTAAAGCTCTTTCTCAATAATGATTTTGGAATCGTTCAGATGGTCGTACTCCTCTTTCAGAGCATTGTACTTGTGCTCCCCAAGGAGTTGCACATCGTCACGAGACTGCTGCTCCCTGCTGAGCTCAGCTTGAGTCTTGTATAGATCATCTTTGAGATCCTTGATCTGAGACTCTAGAAGCTGACGATTCTTGTCGGCTTGTTCATCCTCAGAAAGTCGTGCTTGTAGAAGGCTGTTGGCGTCCTCAACCTCTCGTTCTAACTGTGCCTGTTTCGAGACCATAACTTCCAACTCTGCTTGCACCTGGTGAAGTCTTGATGTAGCCTTCTCCTTTTCTGCAGCCAAGCTCTTCTTGGATTCTTCCAAACCTCGCCGCTCTGATTCGAATCTCTTGTTCTCACTGCGAAGGAGAGCAAGCTCGCTTTCTTTCTCCCTGACGAGATCTTCATAGTCAGTTGAAGTCTTGGAAAGCTGAGCGAGCTGTTCTTGAATCGCCTTGTTCTCACGGCTGAGGCGTGCTTCCCGTGACTTGACCAAATCGAGTTCTTTTTGAGCTGCGTGAAGCTTGACCTCGGCGTCTTGGTCAATCCTGAGTAGTTTACTCTCTAGGTCATGGGCTTTTCGCTCTTTCAGGGACAGCTGACTTTGAAGCATCCTGATTTCGCCTTCGAGAGCTGCTTCCTGCTCACTCCTCTGGGATTGCTTCTCTGAAATTTCCTTAATGGACGTCTCCAGACTAGCAACCTTGCGAGTAAGACTCCCCTTCTCTTCCTCGAGTTTTGTAATGAGGGAAACTGCTTGCTCTAGTTGGGTGCGGTACTTTTCAACCTCTCTTTCTGCTCGGTTCTTCGCTTCCATCAGCTCATCAAGTTGATCTTCAAGCCGCTCTTGATCATCGATAGCGCCGGCAAGCTTTTCCTCGAGCTCTGCCTCCCGATCCTGGAGACGCTTGAAGATCTCCTCCTTGTCCAAGGCAAGAGCACGCTCACTTTCTAATGTTTGCTGGATACGTGCCATTTCGGAAAAGCAATTTCGTCGCTCTTCCTCTAGTTTATGTCGTTGCTCAGCTTCAATAAGCATCTTCTCATTTAGCTCTTTGATCATGGCGTCACGTCTCTTGACCTCGGTCGCAGAGCGAGTGGTACCAAGAAGAGGCTTCATCTTCATGACAAGCTGCCACCATGGATTATCCACAAGATTGTGATAGACGTGGATGTTTCGTTGAATGATTCTCGTGGCCTCAGTTCGGAAAAGGCGTTTATGTACGGAGCGCCTGGTTACAAAGCCCCTCGCCACTGATTGGAAACGAGACATGATTTGTGTGATGAGGGCATCACGTTGCTCTTCCAGCTCTGCCAGTACACCTGCCCTGAAGAAGACCTTGCTCAGGCCAACTCGGTACAGAGACCTGTCGAGGTCTAGCCTTTCCAGCATCATTGATGCCGCAACCTGGCCTTCTAGGTAACCGCTTGGCATATCAGGGCATAGGACTTCATAACGTTGTCGGAACTCGGAGAAAGGAAGTCTGTTGGGGAACCCAGTTCTAGCGATACGGATGCCTTCCAAAACACCATTGCATCGTAGCTGGTCCAAGACTAGCAAGTTATTGAACTGTTTGGGTCGTTTTTTGTGATTTGGCAGAATACATCGCACGAAGTGTGGCTGAGTCGAATGAAGCTGAGCCATCAAGTTGTGAAGCTGTTCCTTGTGCCTCTGGGCGACCGTTCGGAATAAACCTTTCTTTACCCTATTTCTTGTGCCACCAACATCGTCGTCGGTATCAACGCAGTCAGAAAATAAGCCGGCGACGTGTTTGTCTGAAGAGGTAGCAAGGAGCCGGGTGATATTATCGTTCAATGGGTCCTTGTTTTTCTCAAGCCAGCCCTGGGTCGAGTACTCAACATCTGATGCGTAATGAGTGAGAACGAATCCCTGAGTGAGCCTCGATGAGCGGTACTTTGTCGACTTCTTGTCCCATAAGGAGTTGAGTTTTTCAGTGAAAGACTTGTCTGTCGCTTTTGGCATGACGGAATCCTCGTCGAGGCATGAGAAAATACCGATCGGATTTGGTAGCTCGATTAGGTCAATCGTGGGCTGAAGATCACGGCCGAAGTCGATAAATTGCCACTCAATTTGCTCCCGAGCATATTCTTCCTGTTCCAAAACAAACATGTGATGATTGAAGAATTGCTGTAATTTCTCATTGGTGTAGTTGATGCAAAGCTGCTCGAAGCTGTTCTCCTCGAAAATTTCGAATCCAGCAATATCAAGCACACCAATGAAGTGAGTATCATCCATGCCCATTGAGTTTTGGTCCAGTTGTTGGTTAATACGGCTTACAAGATTTCCGAAACCTCGCTCGTAAATACCCTTCGAGAGAGCGTCAAGACTAAGACGGACTTGCTCAGGAGTCTGGACCTTCTCAACCCATTCCCTGCCGGCCTTGACCCGGGGATGTAGCAATCCTTTGAGGAACGGCTCAAGCGGAACACCAAGCAACTGACAAACCTTGGCTGCTTGCTTCTCCGAGCCTGCTTCTAAGCGAGCTTGGTCGGCAGCGCGACTCTCTTTGACGACGCCGATATTGCCCAAATGCAAAACAGCAGCCACTGTACGGAGGATGGACATTTGGTCTTTCTCAGTAAAACCCATGACGCCAAATGCCTCCATGAGAGAGTTCCACTCGTCCCTGTCCGACACGCCAACGATCGTGTCGTGACCGTCGCGAGTGTAGTTGAAATCCTCAACGTCGAGTCCATCTAACAAGAATTCTCTCCTCATCTGCGAGCTTGCTCCTTTGAGCAGCTGATAGAAGACGTGATAGTTTCTTTCGTGGGGATTTATCCTCACGACTCGGGATTTTTCCAACAGATACCAATCGATAAATGCGCCTGTAATCGTACCATTTCGACTGAATTCAATGCGAATAAATTTTCCGAATCGTGAAGAGTTATTGTTGCGTACGGTTTGGGCATTTCCGAAAGCTTCTAATATAGGATTGGCGCGAAGAATTTGTTGCGACAGGTTTGACTGCTGCGGCCGGCTTCTTGATAACGAATCACCGTGTGCGACTGCCGCAAGGTATTGTATAACCTTTTTCGTGTTCTCAGTCTTTCCTGCTCCTGATTCTCCCGTGACTAAAATGCTTTGATTTTGCCCTTCATCAACCAGCTTCCTAAAGGCCTCGTCGGCCATGGCGAAGATATGGGGCTTTGTATCCTCACGACTTCGACCTCGGTACATGTTGATGTAATCGTTGGTATATATGGGCAGAGGACAGTAGGGGTTCACCGTGACGAGAAACAGACCCGAGTAAGTATAGATCAGGTCTGCTTGGTACCTCATATGCAGATTGTGCACCACGGAGGCCTCGTTCAGATGAGTCAACTCGGCCATATCGTTTGCTTTGTCGAACTTGGCCGGGTTTACTTTATCGACGGTTTCTGAATCAACATCTCGTTGCTACGATGTTTCATTAGTAAATAGATATAAGCTCGCGGCGAAGGTTCGCTTGTCCTTACCGTTCCATCGTCGCATTGCACCCGGATCCGATTACCTGGGAGATCTTCGACGACCCATCCTTTCACAAAAGCTTGTTGGGGATCCTTAAGCCACACATAACGCTTTCCTGAAAAGTCATTCTCTCCTTCAATCCCCTTCACAGCGTCATGGCTTCTCCTCATGTCTTCTGTCTTGATGAAGGAGGGCGCAAACGTCCCTGACGACGTGGAGCCATTCTTGGAACCTTGGCGGGAATGCCGCCTTTGGAGCCCTGCCGATACGGAGATGGCTGTGGATGTATTCGACTGTGCTCTTGTGTGTGCGGGAGGTGTTGGCGAACTGGGCGAAGGAGAAGAGGGCGTAAAGAGGGCTGATTTCGGTCGATTTGTGCTGGTGGCGGCAGCTTGTGGTGACTGGCCTACTCGCGTAAAGGGATTGCTCCGCCGCGAGAGCGAGCCATTGGCGTTGAAAGACATTTTTGGTTGTCAACCATCAACGCAACATAGGAGTTTAAAGTTGTCGAGACTGGCCTGGCCGACTTCGAGTGTGGATGGGAGATGGATCCACTATAGCTAGAAATAAACAAATAATTCACGCGTCGATCTGATAGTGACGCTGCACCTTAGGTATGAATCGCAGCCAATTTGTGAGGATATACAGCCTGCGCTCTGCTCACAGTCGCAGGCTTACGGCGAGAGGCATTGGGCAAGCGTATCCAGAGGTGGGAGTGATATCGTCAATGTCAATATAGCGTGGTTGCTGGGGAGGGTCCGCCAACGAAGTAAACAAAGGCCAGCACGTGACATCATGTAATGCATTAGGTAAGATTCGTGGTGGATCCCAGTGGCGATCTTGGACTTTACACACATATTTTGTCCCACGCTGGAACATACACGCGCGCACCGTAAAAATATACACGCGCTTTGCTGCCTGCGTCGCTCCTCGATCTGGTTCGATCTGTTCGGGCGCGACTCCGACACTCTGTCATTCGTTCTGTCGGCGATCTGTTCTGAAATGCTTGTTTTGAATACCTATCCTGGGTCTGTCAAAGATGGTTATACGTTGATCGCACTCATCACGGTAGGCGCATCTAGAATCGGACACGATTTACACCACGGGCGATCGATTCGCAAAGATGGATCCGTATGGCTATGCGTATAGCCAGAGCGAGCCCTATTTCCCACAGCAATATGATACGCAAACTCGCCACGCATATCCGTTCCCAGGAAGCTCAGGACCCGACAACGTCGGCATTGGACTGCAGCATAGCCAGAAAGATTATACACAAAGTGGTTTTCAGAACGGCCACAGTCTCATACCAGGTCTTGGGATGAGTCTATCAAATGGCGCCTCTGAAATAGATCGTGGACCTCTGCCTACCTCCTATGTCCAGGCCACTGAGCCAGGCCCCATGACTGCAAACGCGCAACTCTCTAACAAACAGAACGCTTCTCTTGACACTGAAGAAGCTAGGCAATCTACCACCCAGAATGGGCCAACGAACGAGGCAATGGAGGAGGGTGAGGTAAGCGAAGGGGAGCTTGAAGATATATACGACCCGGAGGCGCTCGATGAGAATACGCATGAGGCCCCAAAATCTTCCAACTTGACACCCCATACCGTAGAGACGAGACAGCAAGGGTTTCCCAAGGACAGTGAAGGTGTGCTCTCCAGCCATTTCCGCCCAGACATACAAGTGTCTGTGACTGAGTTTGATACAGGATTGGAGCGCTCTGGCTCATACTCTCCTTACCTGTCCCCGCGAGAAATTACTTCCACACGGCCGGCTAGTCCCCAGGGTCAGCAGGGTAAGTGTACTTACGTGGTGGGTGGAATGTCAACTACTAAGTATTGCCTTGCAGCAAACCAAGCCGATCTCAAAACTCCCACCGCATCATTCTCCTCCGACTCAGAAGCTACCTCCAACCGGGCTGAAACCGCCTGGGAAGAGGCGCGAAAACACGCCCAGGACACAATCTTGCGGCTTTGGCCGCTTAAAATCCGATATCAAGATTATCTCAACGAAGGGTTGGACGAAGCAACGCTGCGCAGCTTATTCACCGACCTAGGCCTTGATATGAAAATATCGCCGGAAAAAGAGTCGCATACTGCGAATGTTCAAGCCATGGATTCCGGTCTTCCTACAGTCACTAACCTTGAGGATTCAAGCCAAGCACAACCAAAAGCTCCAATGGCTAACCCTCCCAAGGAACCGAAACGGAGCCGTGGCGAGGAGCGCAAGGACAGGATCGCACGCCTTCTGGCCGCAAAGCAGGCCAGTGGCCCCCAGCCTTCTGAAAAGCCCGGTGTCACGCCGACCGCAAAACAGGCTGAAAAGCCTCCATCATCTGTAACGCCAGCTAAAACCCAGGCTCAAATAGCCGAGAAGTCCAAACTGGTGCAGCAAAAGATGGAAGCCTTACGAAAGGCTCGAGAGGCACAAGCCCAAGCCCAAGCTGCTAGCCGCCAGCAGGCTGCGGAGGTCACTCAGCCGAACCTCACACAGAACTCATCCGCCACGCAGCCCCCTCCGGTAGAAATCGTCACGTCAAATCATCACCCAGTACAGGACAGCAACACCAACACGCCCTCTTCGATACCCGGGCTCTTTCTCCCTACCGGTCAGACCACTCCCTCCAGTTCACAGCAAAAACGTCCCATGGCCTCGGAGCTGAATGACCTCTCTGACCCCACGACCAAACGACCGTTTGGTCAACCCCGGCAATCACAGCGATTCCTGATAGATGTTAGCGACGATGAGGATGACGCCGCCATGGACATCGACTCACCTGAACTCGACTCATCATCCGTTCATCGCTCCAACTCACCTTTCAAGGTTCCCTCATTTCCAATGCTTCCAAGCAGTTCCACACCTCTGGAGAATATAAATACAGGCTTGGCACAAACCCCCCCTAGAAATACGCGATCAGCCATGGGCGGTGGTAATTTGGAGTCGATGAACAAGGAAATTGAGCTCATGAAGCGACGGATTGCTGAAGCTGAAGCACGGAGGCGGGCAAAACTTTCAAGGACAGGGTCGGCGCATGGCCAGAACGGCCATGATGACATGAATACCGAATCTAGTGAGCATACCTCTAAATCAGGCCCTGTTTCGTCTGTGGATGGAAGCGAACTCGCAAGGGAAGAGTCTCCTCCAGCTGGGCCGTTAGAAATTGTTTCTCAGAGGCTGCCGAAAGCCTCAGATTTAAACCAAACTGAGCGGCGCATCGCCCTCCGCCAGCGATCTCGTGTGGCTAGCGAGCGATTGCCTCTTGTTGAAGCTCATCGCCAGGAACAGCTCAGAAAGCTTGAGGCTCTACGTTCCCAGATGGAAGACATTCAGAAAGATATTGAGGCAAGCTTAGAAGAGGAAAAACAACTGCGCGATGAGGTGACATTCTGCACAGAGATTCAGAATGACCCCAAAGACACCCCGGGTCCTGTGCCAGCAGGTTAGTGATATCCTCACCCCAATTCATGTACTACTGATATTTGTTGGCTCAGTTCTAATTTGCTTATAGTGAAAGAACCGGCTGTTGTTGAAGCGTTGGATACACCTTCTCATGATTCAGCATCAGGCCCTCAGCCTGAAAGCCAGGTTATGGCTGTGGAAACCGAACAGCACACCCCTGCCGACGTTACGCAAGGTGGCACTCCTGACAATTTTGTTGATCACGCATCACTTGACGATGAGAATAATACTGAGATGCCTGACATTGAGAGTCAGGAAGACACGGACGATAACTCTGATGATCGAATGGACGAAGACACCACTTCTAGTGAAGCCGAGTTTCAGCCTGAAGTACAAGACCAAGGATTGGAGGCAGAAACCTCAACAGAACAGGAAGCTCTGGTTAATGGGCAACCCCACGGTCCAGATGCTTGTGAACCTGAGGATTTGGAACTGCAAACCTTGATGCAAGAGTCTGACAAATCACCTTCTTTCAGCCCTGAGCCTGCTGAAAACTCCTCTGGTGAGACGAGTGATAACGAACAACAGGCCAATTTGCCTACCTCTCTCACCAAGTCGATTTCGACAGGGCAGGTAGAATCAACTGCAGCATCTCCAAGAGAAGTAGACATGCCATTGTAATGAAACGCGGTTCGTATCTAACACTTGCAAATAGGAAAACCGCCAAGAAAAACTTGAATTAAGACCCGGCTCTAGCTTTGTCCCCTACGATTCGTCTCTGAGACCTTTCCGTGCGTATCGGTTTCATCCTCGATTCAACAACTCAGTCCCAGGCGGTTTCCGTTCCTTGACGTATAGCAATAATATTGATGTCAATCTGGAAGTATGCCCAGACCAGCTGGCTGGCCAAGCTTGTTCCAGAGGCAACCTGTGTCCATATCAACACTTCGAAGCTATGCAGCTTGCTGGTAAGTCCTTGCAGGCTGTTGGAAAGAATCCAATAAATGAACCCCACAGAAATATCCCCATGTTAGGTGAATACTGACCTGGCACATTCTAACAGATGATCAAATTCTCCTACAGCTGGGATCTCACAGTAGTTTTGAGGGGGAGCAAAAAGCTCAGTTCATCAATGGACTTCGTCGACTGCTCACTGACTACCGCGAACGCAAGATTAAGGATTTCCAGACGATCAGCAACGGCATTGTCGACTATAGGGCCAACTTTTCTGGCGACAAGAGCAAAATCCTCCCCTTGGGAAATGTCAGCCTCTAACCGCACCGACCCATCGCTGCTACTCCCCTTCCTGTTACTGTCCGTTCCCGTAAGCATCCACTCACCCTACCTCGTAAGACCTGAGATAGCTATTCCCATTGTACTTTTGGGCGTTCTCGGTGCTTCAATGGAGTTCGTTGTTCCCTTTTATTATCCCCCCGGTTTCGTAACGGTTGCATCTTCCTTGAAGCTTGCTATTTTTCATGAAGTGGCCTTTGATATGCCGCTATACCGATACCCACCTTATTTACATTTTCCTTTTCTGTCCCATTCAGAACCAGATTAGACAAATGTTGCGCATGTCCCGGTGGCGAAAAGCCCTCTTCCACAGGCTGGCTAGATTGACGAGAAAACGAGACGGTTGTTCGCGCCTATCTTGTACGATGAGGCCGAGAATATAGCCTACCTTTTGGTGGAACAGATGGAGAAAAATTGGCCTTTCGCAAAGACAGTAACAGTTTGCTTTGGTTCTGCTGGATCTCGAAAGCTCATCGGTAAACTAGGCTATTCATACATAATGATACTCATGTCATCAGCGTATCTGGCTATGGCAGGCAATGTTCCGAATCCCCCACCCCTTTCCGCTTTTATGTGATACAGTGTCAAAGAACGAAGTCTGCAATGAGCATGTACAAACTGGTAACGTAATTCATTATGCATTGTATCGCATGATACTCTATGCTTGCTGCTGATGATGCTTATGAGCGTTGAATGCATCGTTTACCTTTGAGAGATTATGAGAAATACAAAAACGTATCACTGGGAAGTATTGTTTGGCGATAAAATACTAATTGAATTGCTTTGTCAGTCTACACAAGTAAATACATCTATTTATAAACATCGCCCTGTGGCAGGCAACCCTTCTACTTCCGCTTCTTCACTGATAATTTGGCATCATCGCCTGGGGATATTGGCGTGCCCGCGCTCCTAGACACCGTTCGAGTTACAACACCATCAGCGGTCTTACTTGCGCCGAGGCTGATGCCTTTGCCACCGCGCATACCATCTACACTGATAGTGCTCCCGTCACTGCCTCTTCGTGTTCCTGCAAACTTGACCTTTGAGAGTCGTGGCGAAGATGGAGAGGTTCCAACAGAATCGTCCTGCCACTGTACTTCATGCCGGGCAGTTTTCGCGACTGTTTCAGGGGCCTGCTGGGATGTGAAAGATGTCTGGATTGGTGTAACCATTGAGGCGGGGTTCTCGGAGGGCTCGTTTTCTCGCGCGCGGTGTGTGTAGCTCGATGGAGAATTTGCGTCATCGGATGCAACCGCAATTGTCGACGACTCGCTTTCACTCTCTCTCGGACCGCCATCATGCAGATGCGCAGAGCCAATCAAACTCTCTTGCCTTGCAAAGAAATATCTATCGTATTCCTCCTTTGTATGTTCTGCGTTGGTGAAGCTTTCGAGGGCATCAAACACATGCTGGAAAACTTGTGTGTTGACATCCCTCGCCCATAGGAAATCCAAATGCTCGTAGTGAGGAATCTCAGTTGCAACTGTCTGTGGGGGCAATTCTTTTAGCATGACTTTGATGTCAACCAACGAGTCGCTCCCCCCATAGACCAGGACAACTGGCGTTCTGATGTTTCTAGTAGGGTATTTCGCAACTTTAGAGTACTTGCTGGAAGTGCTGAGGCTCATAGGCTGGTGCACATCGTCATCATACATCTGGAAAGATCTATGCCGAATGATCTGGAACCAGTGGACCACACTCTTCGTGCTGGTGAAAGAATACAAGTGTGGATAGGCCGCTAACTTTTGACTTGCGGATATATTCTTCGTCTGCCAGTTGAAAAGAAAGGACAAACCCATGTCGATAACTCGACTGAACAATGGCGGGTACAAGAGACTCTCCCACATTGTTGCAGAGCTGAGAATAGATCTTCTGCCAAAGAGAAGAAACAGGACCTGGGGAGAGGCCTTGACCAGGGAGTCCACAACTCCATTAGAGAGACCCGCCGGGGCCATGGCCGGGGCCAGAGCGATGAAGACATTTACTTGACGATTGAGCTTTGGATGAATAGCGAGAGTTGCAAATGCCTGTGCCGTGCCCTGAGAGAAGCCGATGTATGAAAGACTCTTTTGCTGTGTTGTATCCAGGATGTATGATATACTATCTGGGATATCATGAAAGGCAAACTCGTCCATGGAAAAATCCCAGAAGTTCAACGAGTTGGGAGAACAGTGAATGGACTTTTTGGAGTATTTGTTGCCCCGGTTATTTCCAAACTATGAGCGTGTTAGCTGGAGCTGAGTCCTGAGACATCTCAAATGAGCCTCCCGCTTACCCAGACATCGAATCCCCGTTCCACCAACTCAAAAGGCAAGCATCTCTGCTCGTCTGTGAGGCACACCCAAACTTCAGAGTTCATCAAAAGGCCATGATGTAAATATGCCACTCGCTTCCTGATACTTGATGGTCCGTTGTTGACTTTTCTACCCTCCTCGCCTCGTCTCCATTGCAGGCGGTGGAGGCCCAGGAGAAAGCCATCTTTTGTTTGCACAATGTGCTCCTCGGCTTCATATCCCCATAATCGGCAAAGTTCGACGAAGTCGGCAGCATCTCTCACAGATGTTGATATGGCTAGAGATGCGATTAGGGCGGGCCCGTAATAGACACTGTCTCAAAATGACCTTACTCTTCTTTTTATCCTCAGCTCTTTGCTGTGCCGGGCTGGAAAATCGATTGAATATACGTCGCGACGCTCGATAGAAGATTTGTACAAGGAACGGTGCTAGGAGATACAGGTCAGTGGATTGTTCGCATCGGCTGCATGATGCCCAAGCCTTGGGCGGTTGTTTGCTCACGTAGGGCTAATGTCAATATCCGGATTATGGCCTCGAGCCCAACAAAGAAGAAAGACCCCACCAGAGCGAAGTACTCGGTGCTGTGCCACCGGATGTCAGCTTGTTTATGCGTGGTGGTTTCAATGGCTTGGTTTGCGCATTGGTGGCCAAACAGGGGGAACTTACGGGTGCAGCCGGCCAAGAAATGGAACAGGCATTTCAGCGATATAGGTTTATACAGGTTAATCAGAAAGGGCCTTGGTGAACAGAATATGCGCCATAGTTTATAATCTGAGGAAGTGCGAGAGCTAGGTTGAGTGGCAAAGCAAGAAATCCTTCATGATGAATGCAGTTGGGTATTAGGTAGGATTGTGATGTCACATGTAAATACGCACGAGGTGAGAGCTTGGGACGAACTGGTACGTGCCTGACGGTTTCAGCGTAGCCCATTGCAGGGTACTAGTACTTACTGGGCTTGGTGTGTCATCGATTCAAGCCAAAAGTATAATCTGTTGGCTGTGGCTGTTGCTGTGGCTGAACTCATAAAGCCTAGCCACATCTTTCCCGTTTCCACTTGTATCTAGTCTCAACCAATCAGCTTGGCTTGGAAATCAATGAGTGATCTGCCCATTTTCTAGATATCTTTAATCCAGGCTTGCCGAAAGTACAAGACCAGCCACAGAATCACCATGCCTAGCTCGTGTAAAGAACTACGTAAGTTGGAGTTATTTCACTCTAATTACAGTCCCTTTCGTCTGACAGATTTATACAGGTGCTGCCCTCGCAGCTTGCCTGCAGGAGTCTGACTGCATCATGGTCCAGCGAAACTCGGCTCACGATTGTCTCCGCGAACCTCTCGTCGAAACACTCCCACTACAATGCCGACAGCTCAAGAAAGGACTCGGGGAATGCAAGCGCGGGATGGTCGATATGCGAAAGCGATTCCGAGGCAACATGCCAGTTGCGTACAAATCACTCGAAACTGCCGAGAGCGGGAAAGGATATCAATTGTATGCGGGCAAGCCAGCGTTTGCCGGTAGTGTGAAGGAGACAAGTGGAAACGAACCGATACCCAGGGACTGGAGAGAAATCGAGAATGAGGAATATCGATTGCAGCAACAGCAGCAGCAGCAACAACAACAAGAGAAGTCGAAATAATGAACCTTCGCTGCATCAATCGCCGGTGCTGTGAAGTCTTGATATCAACCACCTTCACGAACGAGGCAAACGATGCCAAATTCCGCACGCAATTGTGCTTTACGGACGTCTGGCCTAAAATGAAAGGCATGCGCGCTGGCAATGGCAGACAGCTTCTCGCGAGGCCTCCCGTCCGGAATGGATGCGCCGGCCCTGTCCTACTCCCACTTCTCTCGACCATGTAACATCTCACGCAATTGTAATGATAGAAATCACCCTGAGCATTGACTGCTTCTACTGTATCAATAGTCCAGGCATTGAGTTAGCTTGTAATGAACCAATTATAGAATGACTGTTGTAAACGAATAGTATGGGATGGGAAACTCGGCGATTGGACCTAAGTCTTAGAATTGGTGGCGCAAGGTTGCACCAACAGCCCGACTTGATCATTCACAGCCTACATACCGGGGCCCCAAGTTATATATGGCCGGTTTGGTAGAGCTGGGCTCTCCCCAACTCCGTTACTTTACTCGTCATCTGGCTGAGCTGCAAGATTGCTGATACAAAGAAGGGCGGCACCCCTAAATTGGTGTTCTGCAAATTGCAATAGGACGTGTTGCAAATTTATCGACGTATCATGCGCGGTAATGGCTTCATGTCATGCCATCTACAATATCTGCCGTCCACCAACAGACCATAGACCTAACCTGTTTTCGATTGTTGATAGCTGCTGCCGCCCGGGTGATCCAGAGGGCCTCAGATAACCACCTCTGGGGTTTAGGCTAGTAACAAGTCCCTGCTTGAGATTGCGATTTCAGCAAGCGTTGGGTCTTCGGTGACGCGCGGCTCGTCCAAGTACGTATGCATTACTGTCCGCTGCGCCATCTGTATGGGGCCTGTAGCGCTCCGTCTCTGGATAGCAGATGACTGGATTTTAATTTGTGTTTGCCATTCTGCTGGTCTTCCCGAAGTATATTAACCTCAGCACATTCCTTGCCAAGAGAACAGCGTTTTTTATCTGATCTGCCTCCACACCGCAACTGGCAACCCGACGCACAAGCGCAAGGGGCCGTTGCCTCCCAAGCTGCTTCCCCCGTGACCGATTTCCGAAACTGGATCTTGGCACGTTCTGCCCCAGCGCATTCGTCATCCTTTTGCTATCCCCGGTCCATAAACCATATGTTACACAGTATTATTCATATATCTTCTCTCTGAGACAGTTTCATTGGAGACTTGCGTCGTTCTGTTCTTTTTCTTCCTTGTATCACTTTGGCTGGCCGCATCGCACCTTCGTCCTCAGCCTCGCCATCCTCACTAGTCCATCTCCCCTTCTCATTCCGCAACCAACTACATGCCTGGGAGCTGACGACATCGACACTACGCCGACGCCACCACTTCTCTTCTACCGGCGGCAAGGCAATTGAACCCACCAACGCTCCTTCCCTCGCCGCCGCCGTCCCGCCGCCATCATGGTCCCTCTCAAGATCACACCGGCCTACCACCGGGCCCTCGTCCTCGCCGCATCCATTTTCTTCCTATCAAGCATCTACCTCTGCAGCACCCGCCTGCTGAACAACAAGGCCATGACCCCGGACCACATCACCACCCCCGCCAAAGCCACCTCCACGAAACCCGTCTTCCTCAACGACGCCGATCTCCCAATGTCGTACGGCGGCTATGACCGGCCGCCACTCACCGGCCTGACCCTCATCGGGGTCATCCCCCCCGAGTACATCCCGACCCCCAAGAACAAGCGCCGCCTTGTCGTCGTCGGCGACATCCACGGCATGGACTCGGCCCTCGACGCCCTCCTCAAGGAGGCCAACTTCAACGAGGAGACCGACCACCTCGTCTCCGTCGGCGACATGGTCAGCAAGGGGCCCGACTCCCCCGCCGTCGTGGCCCGCCTCATGCAGCTCAACGCCAGCGCCGTCCGCGGCAACCACGAGGACCGCCTCCTCCTCGCCCGCTCCAACCTCGACGCCATGCACGGCGTCACCGCCGACCAGGAAACCCCCCACATGCAGCACCGCAAGGGCAAGTCCGAGGACGTCGCCATGGCCCGCACCCTCGACAAGGAGCAGCTGGACTGGCTCGCCGCCCTCCCCGTCATCCTCACCGCCGAGCCCCTCCCCCTCCTCGTCGTGCACGCCGGTCTCGTCCCGGGCGTCGAGCTGGGCAGCCAGGACCCCTGGGCCGTCATGAACATGCGCACCCTCGCCTACCCGAGGGAGGAGCTCAGGAAGAAGGCCATGGAATCCCCGCGACGCCGCGACACCTCCGAGGTCGACGGTCTGGGCGACATGGTCTCCGGCGAGGACAAGCTGCAGGGTGAATATGAGGCCGTGCGTGAGAACGCGGACCCGTCAAGGGCGACCTTTGACAGGGCCGTTGTCGTCCCTCTGGAAACCAGAACCGGTGAGCAGTGGACAATTGGTTGGGACCGACACCAGGAAGGACTCAAGGAGGATCAGCGACGCACAATCATTTACGGCCATGACGCCAAGGAGGGCTTCAAGGAGGGGAAGTATACCCTGGGCCTCGACTCTGGCTGTGTCAAGGGCAATTCTCTTACGGCTGCAATAATTGAGGCTACATCGAACACTGCCTTCAAATACACAACTGTCCAGGTCGCATGCACCCCACCTTAGGGTCAATGACTGGGCGCGTCGCTTTCTCTATAAATACAAGTCACCTGTACCTATTCATATACCTACATACATGTTATATATCCGGCGTTGGAAGGTCGGCGTTTGGGCTGGGTTGCGGAACCCTACTATTAGCATCGCTTAAAAATACTGGCAATGATTCTAAGCATTTTTTTATTCTATCTTGCTCTTCATTTCATCCTGATTGATAAGTAGTGTTGGCATGTAAGATGGCCGGCATCGTAGAGCCAGAAAGGCGTTGGATCTATTGACATCTCAAATCCCTAAATAACTTTCACAGCCAGACAAACGAAACAAATGAAAAAAATTGGACGGATCCTGACAAATTCTTGTGTCAACAGTTCCTCCAAAGGCTACAGTTTGAGCCAATTACTTCATGTCCTTTTTTTTATTCTTCTTCCATTTCTTCTTTTTGTTTTCGAACTCATCAGTCTTGGTCATCATGATTTTCACTTATTAATGAGGCGCTTAGGCAAGCTTCTCCTTGAGAATGTTCTTGAGGGTCACAGCGTCGGCGGCGAACTTGCTGATACCTTCACGGAGCTTCTCGACGGCCATCTGGTCCTCGTTGAAGTCGAAGCGGAAGTTGGCCTCGTTGTTGATGTAGGTCTTCTTCTCGAGGTTGAGGGCAGAGGCGCCGGCGGCATCCAGCTTCTTAGGAACAGCCTCGTTGGAGTTGAGGAGGTCCTCGAGCAGGTTGGGCTGCAGTGATGCGTCAGTTTTGCTCATGATTATGGTTCGTTTCCTCTTGGACGGGGTAGCTTACAGAGATGGTCAGGTAGTCGCAGCCAGCGAGTTCGGTGATCTCACCAGTGTTGCGGAAAGAGGCACCCATGACGATGGTGCTGTATCCGAACTTCTTGTAATAGTTGAAGATGGCCTTGACGGAGGAAACACCGGGGTCCTCCTCCTTGGCGTACTCCTTCTTGTTGTGGGCCTTGAACCAATCAAGGATACGGCCGACGAAGGGAGAGATCAGGTAGGCACCGGCCTCGGCGGCACCGATAGCCTGGACCAGAGAGAACATGAGGGTGAGGTTGGTGTTGATTCCGTGGTCGCGCTGGAGGATCTCGGCGGCCTTGATACCTTCCCAGGTAGAGGCGATCTTGATCAGGACGCGGTCCTTGGAGATGCCCTGCTGCTTGTACAGCTATTCATAACTAGTTAGCGACTGCGTGAGGCGAACAACAACCCCAAGACCAAGACACTTACGTCAATGATGTGCAGAGCCTTGTCAACGGAGGCCTTGGTGTCGAAAGAGAAGGCGGCGTCGACCTCAGTGGAGACCTTGCCGGGGATGATCTCGAGAATCTTCTTGCCGAACTCAACCAGGAGGCGGTCGAGGGCGTGGTCAACCTGGGTGTTGATGTCGCCACCCTGCTTCTTGGCGTAGTCGATGGCGCCATCAATGAGGACGGCGTACTCGGGCTTCTTGGAGGCGGCGAGAATCAGGGAGGGGTTGGTGGTGGCATCCTGAGGCTTGTACTTGCCAATGGCTATACCTTGCGGTCAGTCTCTTACTTCTTCGAACTCAAAAAACGTGCGGGAGTCTAGGATAGATCATATGGCTTGCAGCCTTTCGATTTCTGGCATCGGAGAGTACGGGGACGGTTGGGAAAAGGGGTATACTGACTGGCAAAGTCACCTATTGAGCGATTGTGTTAGCAAGCAGTTCTAAGCTATTAGACGTGGCATGAGGTAATTACCAGAGTCAGAGACGACAACCTATTGGAAGAAAAAGAAACAAACGTCAGCAATTTAATCTTTCTATCCAGGTGAACAGTGCCAATGCGCTGCGGAAGGCATCAATTGAGCCTGGTTGGCCTTGTCGACGCCTCCGAGCCCAACAAAATAGCCCCTCCAAGCTCCTTCAATGAGGGGCAGTCGCTGGGAAGCATGGAAGCTTATGGTGGGGTGTGAGGACCTGCTACTTACGGTGCCGGTGGCCTTGAGCTGTTCGAGAGCAGAGGACATGATGGCGATTAGGTCTGGATTGGTAAATCGGAAAATATGATTTGGGATGGACAGACTGGAGATGGAGAGAAAAGGAAGAAGAGAAAAGTGGCAGAAATGACGATCGAGGGTGGTTTTGAGCTCGGCCGGTGGTTCCAGGTAGGGGGGCCAATTCCCTACCTTCCACAGTGCAGCGACCCGCTCCCCGGCGCATGCGTACCTCCAGGGAGGTACACGGTACGTTAGTAGGAGAAGCCCCCCACCACACCGATGCGGGGCGCTGGTTAGGTCATACCTGACAACACCAACAGGTGTCTTGTCCCGCTGAGGGTGACCCTCAGAGGGTGACTACGGTCCACCCGCCAATCTCTGGGCCTCCCCCACCGCCTGGTGCAACGCCCATTGCCTGGTTAGTAATTCCAGCCGCATAGTTCCGATTCTGACGATTTGAGTGTTTGACAATTTTCTGACTGAAGCTTAGCTAACTCGGGGGGCCGGCCGGGGTTGGAGGCTGCTGTACTAAAGTTGAGCTCCCAGCTCCTAGCTCTGGTCGCCGGCCGGTGAGCATTTCCGTCCTCCCGGATCGCTTCTATGCTCTGGCCAGATAGGTAAGCAAAGATGCAAGTAGAAGAATTGTACCTGTTCTTGAGGAATCACATGATCACGGCCAGGGTGGCGATTGCAGGGACATTGACGACTGTATGTGCACACATAGACGTAAAGCGTCATACAAAGTCAGAATCGCGGCCACCAATCCCGTTCGTCGACTTCCATAGGTGTCAGGTCTTGTCGCCAATTCCAATCTGCTGCTACCTCGACTCCGTAGTCTGTAAGGTAGGATCGTCATGCCAGATCAGGTACCCTCTACACGAGATCCCCCTGAAGATACATACAAAACCCATACGGATGAAAGGCATAGAGACACAGAATTAGCAATTTAACGTTTAGAACGCCCCCGGACCTGCACGTACAAGCCTACCAATGGCAAGTGGCATGGATGGGTTGTGCTCAGGGTGACAGGCAGCCAAGTCTCAGCCCGTCGACGAGACGGCTGTGGCATCGTGACCGGAAAAAAAGCTTGGAGCCGGCCCAGGGATGGGAGAAAAAAACTGGGGTTACCGATTTGTCGGGGAAGATGAGCGAACCTCAATGAAAGCAAGACCGCAACGGGACTTGACTCGGAGCCCACGAATGGGAGCCTCTGGTCGGGCCACAGTCACCCTCCCCGCCACTTTAGACGTCGCCATGTCGACATCCGCCATAGTAATTCCGAAAATCGCACTGTTCGGGATTGTATTTTGCGTTGTCCGTCACTTCACTCGTGGATATTTCCGCATGTCTTTCAATCCTATTATTGAGTACATACGTACATTTTTCATCTAATTTTCCTCAACTTTTTTCAGGTCATCTGATCTAATCCTCAGTGATATCTCCGTATTCCCACATGCCCAGGCGATCCTGCTTCGCCAGGCTTTCGACCTCGGTCAAATGCTTCAAGTACGACTCGAAGGCCTTGCTGCGTTCCCAAGCCTTGAGCTTTTTGGGAACCATGCCGTAGCCATTGGCCACAATCTCCTTGTTTAGAGAATCATTTAGACCCGGCAACTCATTGTTGGTCTTGGGATCGTAGAGGGTGATGTAGTTGAGATTCTCCTTGGTGTCCACAAAGTCGAAGCTGCCGACAAGACGCTTGCCCTCGGTCACTTCAGCAATGAAGCCAACAGCGTCCTGGAAGTAGTCGGCGCCGGTAGGCAGCTGCACAAAGGAGAGGGATGCGTCTACAGCCTGGGCCTTGAGCTTCTGTACACTGAACTGAGGCTGGTCCAGAGGGCGCAGGTTTGCCCAGGGGATCATCTCGCTGTTACCGTAATCGATATATAGAACTTCAGCCTTCTTTGCGGTTCGGTCGTTGGCTCGAACACGGGCACGGTACCACTCCCCATCAGCAGAGAACTTGGCCGACACATACTCGCCAGTCTTGGGGGCGTCCTTCAAAGGCTGCTTGTTCTTAGAGTCGAGGTTGAATTTTCTGAACTCGCTCATCAGAGTCTCAAGCGCGGCTGTGCCTTTGCCGATCTCCTGGATCTTGAGCTTTCCGTTGGCGTCAATGTTGGTGACAATGACATCGCGGTAATCGGTAGGCTTCTTCTCCAAGCTTACGGAGCTATCGGCGGTTGCCTCCTCCTCGACGGCCTCAGGCTCCTCCTCCTCATCCTGAGAGGGATCCCAGCTATGCCACAAACCGCTACGCGCCTCCTTTGCCTTCTTCTCAGCTTGAAACAGTTCGGCCGAGTTTCCAGACTTCTCGGCCGAGTAAGCATGAACAGATGCAAGACCCTCCTCAACGAGAACCTTGGCAAAGTTCTCACGGTTAATGTACAAAGAACCGATGAAACCACCAACCTTATCCATGTCGTGGATATCAACCTCGACATCTCTCTGGTTGCAGCGGCGGTTGGCAAGTTCAAGAGCCTCCTTGCCAAAGGGCTCGCCACCCTCACCATCAGCTCGTGGGGCTCGTGGGGCACGGATGCCACCAAGGACAAGAGTGAGCTTTGCATTCTCGCGGGGAATCAGTAGAGTAAATCGGGATCCGGCCTTGCAAAAGTCTACAATGGCGGGCACTCTCTTCTGGCGTTGTAGCGTTGCAAGCATAATCTTGGCTTTTTGTGTGTTCTCTGATAGGTCCAGGTATTGTCTAGCCTTCCCCGGCTTGCCGGACCACATACCCTTGCCTTCCTCCTTGGCCTTCTCCTGAGCAGCCAGCAGCTCATCGTAGTTGGGGGCACGGTCAGTGTCATCTTTTCGGTGACGGATGACGGATGCCCAACCAGCCTCGACAAGTGCAAGACCAATGTTGGTGCCCTTCTCGGTGACGGTGGCAACCTCCTTAGCCTCGAAGCCTTCGCTCGCGGGCTTGGTTCCGTCGATGCTGATCTTGACGTGCTTTCCAATGACCTTCTTTCTTAAGAATTCCTTGGACTCTTCTCTGAAGGGGGCTTCCGAAGCCTCGTTGGTACGGGGGCCAC